TGAATCTATTAAAATAACATTACATAGTGTTGGAACCGTGCTTTAAAAATATTTTGACAAAAGCGATATTTATTTTAGTCAATATTAAAATCTGAAGTCATAAAAAATCGATTTTTTTCCTATTTTTACTTTTGACTGAATAAAATTGTTAGAATAGTTCTGGTGATGTATAACAAAGTTTCAAATGTAAAGAATAAAAAAAAATTTAACTTGATTAAAAAAAAAAAAAAAGAAAAATATCATCGGAGACAGGGGTTTTTCAACAAATTATGAGACAGTTGAAAAAAAAAAAAATGGTTCGGGCATTTCAAAGCAACTTCACAGACACGCACAAACCTCGTTGATTCCAGTCGCTGTCGCTCGTGATAAAGAACGTGACGGCGCAGGACGCGGGCGTGTACAAGATCCGGGCGAGGAACGAGCTCGGGGCCGACGAGACGCAAATCGAGCTGGTGGTAAAATCGGCGCCCAAGATAACGCGCCGGCAAACCGACATGTCGGTGGTAGCCGGCGAGAGCATCCGCGCCGAGGTCCAGATCCGGGGCTCGCCCACCCCCGAGGTCACCTTCTACAAGAACAACCAGCCCCTCCGCGACTCGGACCGCGTGACCATAACCCGCGAGCCCGACGACCTCCACGTACTCACGATCCGAGGGGCGCGCGCCGACGACGCGGCCTCCTACTCGGTAAACGCCCGCAACGAGATAAACGAGACCTCGCAGTTCTGGGACGTGTCGGTCAAGTACCCGCCCCGCATCTCCAAGGGCCTCGGGGAGCCCCGGCTCGTCGAGATGGGCGACACCCTCACCCTGTACATCGAGCTCGAGTCCGAGCTCCCGGCCACCGTGGTCTGGCTCAAGGGCGGACAAGTCGTGCGGGAGAGCGAGCGCGTGAGCTTCGCCTGCGAGGACGGCCAGAGCCCCGGGAGCAAGCGCTACTCGATGCGGGTGGAGGGCCTAGTGGACACGGACACGGCCAGCTACGAGGTCGAGGCTTCGAACAGGGACGGCAAGTCGCGGGACCAGACGGGGGTCCAGGTGCGCTCGGCCCCGCTGTTCCGGCGCAAGCTCGAGGAGGTGGTGGTGGCCAAGGAGGGCGAGCAGGGGCTCGAGCTGCTGGTGGAGGTCGAGAGCTTCGCCAAGCCCGAGGTGGCGTGGTACTACAAGGGCTCGCAGATCACCGAGGCCAAGAAGGAGTACGCGTGCACCGAGGGGACAGCCAACTCGTACAAGCTGACGATCAAGAGCGCGAAGCCCGAGGTGGCGGGGGTGTACACGTGCAAGGCGCGGAACGAGGTTGGGGTGAGCGAGTGCTCGGCCAACGTGACCGTGCATTACCGGCCAAAGTTGCTCAAGAAGCTCGCCGATCAGAAGGTCAAGGAGGGGGATACCCTGAAGCTGACGGTGCAGGTGTCGGCCCTGCCCGAGCCGGAGATCAAGTGGTACAAGGACGGCCAGGAGGTGTCGGCGGACGCGAGGATCAAGATCACCCGGGACAGCCAGCGCCTCGAGAATTACGACCTCACGGTCACGCTGCTCAAGTATACTGACGGCGGTGTGTACGAGGTCAGGGCCCAGAATGAGCTCGGCTTCGTCACCAGCAAGAGCAAGGTCATCGTGCTCAGTGAGTTTTTCTTCATTTCTCTTCTCGTCCATTTTTTTTTTTTTTTTTTTTTTTTTTTTTTTTTTTTTTTTTTTTTTTTT